GCTGCGCGGAAAACAGAGGGTGCGGTGCGGTGCGGGGGGAGGTGGAAAGACAATGCATACACACACACGCGCCCATGCTAGTGAACGAACGCACACACATAAACACACACACATATTATACACCCTCGTCGACTTATAATTTGCCCGACCGCGCTACCCCCTCACACACCCCTCTAGTCATCATAACACTTCACCCCCGTTAGTTTTACTTTTAGTTTTTTTTTTTTTTTTTAATGTAAAAAAAAGATCAATATTATCATCTTTTTAAAGGCTACACGCACCCCCCACACACCCTGCCCGATTTTAAGAAATCGTTATAATCACGTTTCGCGAGAGAACCCCGTGAGTGGTGGATTCGATGGGCAGGAGGGGTGGCGGTGGCGTGGGGGCACAATGTGGTCGCGTAGGGGGAGAGTATTGATATTTAGCGTTATTAAGAATACTAAAAACTCTGCGCGTAAAAGTGTACTTTCGCGATTCGTCGGCTGTGCGCCCACATAAATGTATAATAATAATATTATTTCACACGACACAAAACCTCGCCGTTCGTTTGCGGCGGAGTACAAAAAGATTTGGTTTGGTATTGTGTTATATTATTATTATGCTCGCGCCACGGCGGTGGTATTTTTCGAAACGACTATAGCTAATACCGTACGATGATTGATGGCGATCTAGTAAATCTACGCATGTATATACGCATTATAATAGTCGCCTGATCTCGCAGCAGTTCGTAGACACATTATATAATTAAAAACCGGACGAATATTTTCAAATTATATGCACCAGAGATATTATTATGTTATTGTTATAATAATAATTAAAAAAAATTACAAAAAAATATATCAAATGTACACAAATATTAATAGTCTCGAGGTCAGTGTTCAATTGTTCAAAAGTATATATTAGTCCATATTTTCTGTTCGTGTTCTCGTATCGTTGTACCTACAACGCGTTTGGTAATTGATATACACATAATAATATATACATGTATATGAACAACTTATGATTATACCAATTCATATATTATGTTTTGTACTCTGCATTATGTGATTATAATAATATTATGTCCATCGTATGCTTATAATACTATGTACACATGTAGCTCATATTCTATGCACAAATGTACATATTATTATACCTACTACGCGTATAACATATTAAAATTATATATAACCGCATATTTTCTAATATTCGATTCATCGATATCGATCGATTTTAATGTGCTGCAGGTAGATATTTTATAATATTATAATACATACGTACGAACAATTGATGTACTAGGTAGTTGTACCTCGCCACTATAATAAATGTGTATAGTTATGTTGTTATGAACAAATAACAATTATAAAACGCCAGGTATGGAGAAATAATAAGTACCTATAGGTACGAGATTAAATTTCAACCCATTTCTATCGTTACGTATTACGCGACTAGGGTTGGATGGCGCTGCCAAAAATTCCCAGAGGGTTACGGGAATATAAAAATTAAAACCTATATAGGTAATATAGTTTTATGTCATACTTTTCTATTATTACCTACGAACTTTTTAATTTTAAGTTAATATATTGTATATATAATATTAAAAAAAGTATTTTATCATAATAGAGCAATACGCGGTGCATCCGTGACTAATTAAATATTAGTCGATAAAGTAATTAATAATTAATGTGAATCGTTCCAATATTATATAATTTAACTATATTATTATTAATGTTAAACTTGATGTTTTAGTTTGTAGTTTTGTACAAAGCGCATATGTATGTTGGGTGTTATATTGTATCACATTTTCATGATAGGATTAATAGCTTCAACGCTGAGTCACTTTATAACCGCTGAAAACGGAATAAATATTATTCTGTGATATTGTCATTTACCACGTGTTTCAAGTGCCACGTGGATGTTAATATTAACTAGTTTATCAAATCATTTCGAATGGTTGACACGTTTTATCTTAATATTTTAAATTCAAATAAAAAATGTACCCACAACATATATTTTCCATTTTTCTACGACTACGTTTAATAGCATCACTTCATATTTTGATATAAGAAAGTGCTCTGAGAAAATGCAATATGATTTGTGTACAATTTATTGTAAGCCCACAAATATACCACTAAAATTATTAAAGTTTAACAAATGGACATTTTTGTAAAATCCTACCCCTATATCAAGAATTTTGATTTTAAATGTTCAATATAAAGATTTTATTATTGTTTTACCTAGATAATATTATCAAAAGTATAAATTTTAAATATGAAGGTAGGTACTTCAATTCTTATGCATTAGAATTTTAAAAAGTTTACTTTCTCGTACAGCAAATCATATCTAGGTAGTAGATTTAACGTTATTACATTTTAATTGTTTTTGATATTAATTATTTGTACAATATAAATTTCCGATGAAAATGAACTGGGCCAAACGCATAATATGACATATTATGATATATATAATTTTTTTTTTTGATTGATGAAGAGAAAATGTCAATTTAACTTTGTATTGTATTTTATCAAAAAAATTTTAATATCTAATTTAAATACGCCATGAATCAACAAAATGATTAATAAACACTAATTGTTTCTGTTGAATTTTTTTATGTTCTCGGCCATCCCCTAACATTCCCGCGAATTCCTAGCAAGTTACGTTCCCGGAAATTTCACAACCCTAGTTACGGTTAACGAAACAAATAAAACATCTGAGACTTAGTACCCTCAGTTTAACAGCGTACAAGGTCTGTAAGCAGGAATATAATAATTGCGATAAATTCTTCACAATGAAATAGTTTTAACGGTATATGAAATTCTATATATTTTAGTAAACAAACGATGTGTGTACCCATAGTATTTAAAATTATATACGTTTACCTAAATATTATAAATTGTATAAACTCTGAAGTTACCTACTATAGTGTATCAATAACATACTATTTGAAAAGTCTAATACAATGAATATAGATACGTCTTTTACAACAGACCATTTATTGGCGACTTTACAAGTTATTATATTTATATAATATTATTATGCATTGGAAAAAAAAAACGTATCCGTGTATGCCATAAAGCCTCAATGCAGTATAAACATGATTAAAAATAATAATAAATTAAATTTATTTTACTAACAAAAAAACTTAGAAAAGTTCCTTAATCCGCCTTGTCTTTCATAGCACTTTAACAATATACCAAGAAAATAAAATAAAATAAAAATACGGGAAAAAAATTATAGTAAAAAAAGTATTCTTGTTAGGTAGGTAGTCTAGACTGAAATTCATTTATCGTTTTTGAGGCTGTTGAATAACAGTAATATTAAAAAAAAAAAAACAAACAAACAAACAAACAATACCTAGTATTTATTACTGATTATATATAGGTAGCTCATTTTAATAGTTCAAAACGTATTGTTTATTATTATTATTATTAATAATATTCTGCTCAACCAATATCCCTTCGTTCATATAAATTATATTTTAAATACCACACTGATCCACATGCACTTACCCCTCAAGTCTTCAACTGACGAAAGTTACTAACTGCAGACACTGAATTATGTCCAACCTAATTAGGAATTATTATATTAATTTTATATTATGTATTGTATTTTTGTATTTACGCATTATTAGGTTTTATCTATAGTTATTTGTTTGTTGAATGTTGTGAAAACGTGCGAATATAATAATACATTATATGCTTAACCCTTAAGCCAGGCCTGTGATTGTTTGAGTCGGTTCGAGTTCGAAATCATCACTCGGAGTGCAATTTCATCATCATAATATGACGTACACTATAGTCATATAGTGTATATTATGCAGGATGGTTTAAACAAAAATTACTCATTTTCTTGGGCAATTATTGTTGTGTTGGCCAAAAAAAAATAAATATTATTAAGTACATACATTTTTAGCTATTTTAACATGATATTATTAAGAAAAAAATGTAAATCAAATTTCATTTTCTCTATGATATGTGAAGGTTTCGTTCTGCGCCGTTGAAATCAACAGATGTCGGTAGATTTTCTATTTTCCGAATACATACACTTTTTATGTTTGTTGCTTTTTACGTTGACAGCACACTTTTACTCCGTAGACGACCGTTGTAGTGTCCTTGTGAATATAAATATAATATTATGTTTTTCACAAGAATAAAATATTGAGTTATGCCGGTATTTTAACCATCGCGCTTAAATAATTTATAATATTATGAGCAACAGTGTGGATTTTAATTGTTCAACTGGACATAACAATTAACAATATTATTGTTGAGATTTTTTTCTGTCAATTACTTATATGGCATTTTTACGTATATTAACACGAGAAAAATCGAAATTCCCAGTGGCATGTTTTCACAAATAACGATGATGATTATATAAAACTATAAACTATGCATTATGACGTGTGTATAGGTGATTGAAAGCTTGTCGATTTTCAGGCAGGCGGGGGGTGGACCTGTAACTGGGCACTGGAAAAATAACATATAAATGAGCTGTCCCTGTTACCGTGTTACAGCTTATCACTTTCAATCGCCAATAGTCTATACGTTTGTGTAACACAACGATAGTGGACGTTGCACTGTCACACACACTAACCGCAATATTATTGACTATTAATTTGGATCTATCTTTATCTCCAGTCCATAGCGATAGTCCAGACTCTCATCCAGATGAAAATCATAACACGTCTGGGCGTGTGGTCACTGTCCCTGCGATCTTTGCTATAGGAATAATATTATATAATATTAAAGCCCAGGGGATCACACTATCACAGCCATACCGCACAGTTGTCTGTCGGTCCTAAAGTTCTGCAGCTCTGTAAATTTCAGGGTAATTCGTGGTTAGTGAACGGTATACCATTATGTTATATTGTCAGGATGGCCATTTAGAATACGAGAAAAATGCGACTGATGACTTCTGAAACAGTGAGTGAGGAGAATCTATAGTTTGAGGACAGTAAGTTCACAGTTGCAGTACGCATGATCATAATATTATAATATAAATATTATACGCTAGCGACAATGCGGTATAATAACAATGTAATAGCTGCTGACGGCATATTATGGTTAAGCGGTGACCAGCGGTCATGCAGTTTACAGTTATATGCAGCAGGAGACCGCCGGACACGCGGCCGCGGCAGATCTTCATATAGGCGGCAGTGCTTTGATGTACGCCGTCAACGACGCTCGGCCGCGGGCCGGTTCAGTCACCGCGGTGGGGCGCGTTCTGAGAGCGAAATCACGGCGATCACCGGTGGGCACGGGTTGCACGGTCCGCCGCGTCGCGTCAACGGGTCCCTGGCCAGCAGACGGACGGCGTCTACCAGCCGTGAAATATTATGATTAAAAACTCACCTCGACGAGACGGCCGCGGGTAGACCGACCGAGTGCGCTTTTATCGTTTGGTATCGTTTGTTTTTATTATTATTGTCGTATATTAAAACGAACGGCGGGTCAGCCAACCCTTCAAGACGTCTCGTAGCGGGGAGGCCGCCGTACAGTGCCGAGTCGGCCGCCGCCGCGACGACGGCGTTAGTGGCGTGCGTGGCGAGGCGGCGGCGGCGGCTTCGTCGGCAGCGGTGGTGGCGTGACGTGTGAAGGGCGACGAGGAACCAGCGGGGGTGGGTTAGCGATGCGGCGTCGTCGGCGGCGGTGGCGGTGAATGACGAGTTGCTGGCGGAGGAGGCGGTGGAGGAAGAGGAGGGCGGTCGCATGCAAATACACGCGCGCACACACACGCACACGCTCACGCTCGCTCGGTCGGTCGGTCGGCACACGCACACGCATACAACTAGTTATGTTAAAACCATCACATGCCGCTGCCCTCGGCACACGCTAACGTGCGTCTTCCGCGGACGGAGGTGTTTCACTGTTCGCTCGTACACGCGTCGCGTTCATTCTTCACTTCTCCTCGTTACTTTTTCACATCCCGTATACACTATTATCATTAATATTATTATTATTATTATTACTATTATTAACATTACTATCGTCATCTATTATTATTTTTATAATATTCTTATCATTATTATTATTACTATCGTCATCTTCACCGCCTACGATATTATAATTATTGTCGTCATTGATACGACGCGAAACAATAATATTTTGAAAATCGCGAGTGTCTGTGTGTGGGTGGGTGAAGGGTGCTGCACCGTACGCAGCAGCTCCGCCGACGACAATGTTCCGCGGACAATGTTCGATTGGCCGGCGGTCGGCGGGTTGACCGTTTGAATTCGATTCGTTTTTCGTTTCACGCCGCGCCGAAACGGTTTTGAAAATATTATATTCGCCGTTATCGCGTCTATTCTCCTCACACCGACCACTACGACGCCAGTCCAAAATGATCGACCGACGACCGGATTTGGAAGTGATCGACGTATCTCAGAACGGGGTAAGATCCAATTTTGTTGTCGTTATACTTTAGTAATTTGATTTCGCTCGAACAACGAAGTCGTTTTTTTTTTTGGTTTTATCGTAGTCGACTTACCATAATATTATAATACGAAAGTAATAATGGGTCTTGCGATTTTTTTGGAAACCTATTTAGAGACGCGTAACACCTATTTTTCGCCATACCACAGTCATCGTTTTCGATACCTAGCTTATACAACATTAATATTGTTGGCTACGGCCGCGGCGTTATGAGAATACCACAATACCAGCTAGGTACCTACCTATAATGATTGTATAATATCGTCGTAGCGTTTTACGAAAAATTTACCTAATAAATATTATTACGATATCATAGACGTCATAGTGATATTCACGTGCGTGCATTCAGTGATAGAAACACGGAATATTGTATGTAAACATTGTAAACCAATAATAATAACAATAATAATTTAACGAATAACACCACAATATCTTATTTACCAGAAAACACGACCAACGAGTGTGTTTACTTAAATCGTAATTAAAATCTAATTAAGTAGGTAGGTACATAATTTTCACTCATACGTGTAAATAATACGATAAATATGTATATCGATTTAAAAAAAAAAAAAACCGTCATAATACACATTATAATATATTATAATATTATTATTATTATTACGATATTATAGTATATTATGATGTCCTTATTATTGTATGCACTTTGAAAATCGTAATTGATAATAATTAATATTTATCGAATTCAAATATTATATGGCTATTGGTTTATCGCAGCAAAAAACGTTAAAACAAACACGAACAATAATAATAATGATACGAAATAAAAAACCGAATAAAAAACCGATGTGCAGGTGTGCAGCGAAATAAATGTTAAATAATAATATTATGTTGTGCCCCTATATAGAAGTACAGAGAATACGAGGGTTGGTGTAAAAATAAAGCGCGGAACTTCCCGCCAAAAAAAGGCATTTTCCGCGGTAACATTTGAAATGTGTGCGTAGCCTTTTTATTACGATTTACAATATTATTACCACCGGAAATTGTATCGTCCTGGTGGTACAAACGCTCGGTAAGGTTTTTCTACACCTATAAACAATATCATAAAGTAATTAAGTACACTACCACCGATTTTTAATAACCCTAAAACAAATAAAATAATATATTGCGATTTAAAATTTAAATAATAACATATGATACTTTGACGAGATTAACTGACAAAACAAACTCCACGCGCGTTGTACAATGTGCGTAACAATATTATAATATTGGTAGGTAGGTAGGTATATAATATTAGGTATAGTGTAAAGTTATACGCGAAACAGTAATATAATAATAATATGGAACATAACGATTTGTACTCACTATATTATCAGTTCTCGTGAATTGAAATAATAATAATAATTCAATGTTTGATTTGTCTACATTTTACAATACTCATTAGCTAACTTTTTTTCATTTGAAATTTATAAAATAATACAATAATAAATATGTATTTTTAGTAGTAACTCAAATATTAATATTCCAAATCCATTATGAACGTGTAGAATTTGTACATTTTACAAAAAAATTATAAATAAATTACTCGTACCTAATGTATAAGAAAATTCCTTAAAAAGTACTAAATTAGTTGGTGGAAAAATCATCGTTCATTCATAATTCCTAAAAATGATTTTTTTCTGTTAAGTATATCAATAAATACTATTTACTTAGTTTTTAAACGTGTTTTAATTGTTTATCGTATCTTTTTTTAAAACCCCTTATTTAACTGATACGATTGCATTTAAACATAATGCTTCTAGATAGTTGTACACAGTTGTAGTCAGTTATTTATCATGAAATTGATATGTTTGATTAATGTGTATTTAATCGGTTGTTCGCGTTGTTTAGTTAATCGTACATGGTGCTATTAAAATATTATACTTTAAGTTCATAATTAATTTCTAATAGTTTGAAACATATTTAATTTACATATCTACCTATTTAATGTAGTACCCATAATAAGAACATGAATTCGTATTTTTATGATACATTTCAAACTTGGTACATTTTGGAAAGTGAAAAACTATTGGTAATACATGATAAATTTAATTATATTTAATTTATTCCATGTCACTGAAGTTAATAGAAACAAATATCAAACTTTGAGTAAGGTTAACCGAGACTACTTACTCATTGTTCTGAAACCAGTTTTAAACACGTAATGACATTGTTTACACGTCGTGTTCAATATTATTTAAATTATCACTAATTAACATATTTACACTAAATCCCTGTTTTTCTAAAATAGACGCAGGTACGTTTTTTCTGTTTTGTATTGACTGATTTCGAGAGAGTTCAACGAGAACGTTTATCACCTGAATTACAATTTCCCGTGTTTCGAGACTAAAATTATTGGCATAGTCGACGACATTTAAAAATTTGTAGGTATCTTTTATTTAAATTAAATAACGTATAATAATTCGAAGTGCTCAGTTAAAGCGCCACAGCTATGGTCAAACATGAATTATTGAAAAACAAAAATAAAAATTACAGAAATACATATAGTACCTATTTATTATTAAGTAACTTAAAGAAAAAAACGCAAATGTCAGTCATTATCGGTTACTACGTGTGAAATCGAATTTAAGAGGATACACCTATAGCAATAGGTACTAATGAGAAAGTTGTATAGTAATCGTCGGTTTAAGTGATAGGTGTGGGTAACGTTGATGTATCGCAATCAAACGTCGTGATGATTTACTATAATATAATGTAATATAATAATATTGTAGACTTTAGGTATATACTATATTATTATCATTAACGTCGATAAAAAATATTACGCCTTGAGAATGTAATTTCGACTTACCGGGAGGATTTGGCAGATTCGCATTCTTTTTTCGTTTACAAAATATAATACATAATCATGTGAATTCGGATTTTAAAACGAATGCAAGTAATACCCACAACATTCGTCTAATATATTGTGTTCGGTGTGTATAATATTGTTACCTAAACATTAAATATTACCTATTATTACTATATATTATGAGACTCTTAGCTAAGTCTCCGACGAAGTTATCTGAAACACATATTTGTGGCAACTTATGTTGAGACCTACTTCCTTTCTATTGTATAGAACCACTTATCAAACTACCCTGTAACCGCCAAAAATGTCTGCTTATGATAATGTATATGTGTTGGATGTGATGTACATATCCTTTTGGCGCGTTTGCGGATCGGTTAACGGTTCGTGGTATCAGCTCAGTGCGATCTATAGGTATAATAAAATGCATAGAAATATTAGAAATTTCGAAGGTACTGCACTCAATACTAATACCTACCTATTTCAATGCCGAATAAAACAAAATTGTCCGCCGGGATCAATCTGTTGAAAATATACATTTACATTTAATGTTTATATATTTTATAGTTTTGTTTAGCATATTGTCTTCAAATGTCTTACTCTACCATATTATCGACCGTCACACTGCACACTATTTTAGGACTTAGATCATCATACCCTCGCCGTCGAACTATCTCTCATGTCTCCTATAAAGTCTAAAATGCGTATGTAGCTGGTGATCTCGGTGGATCGTAAATTTAGTGTAGAATATCCATCTGAGGTCACCTGAGCAGGTCTCCCCCCTCTCAAATCACCCGTTATCATCGGTTGTCGGGACGATATAATATCGCAATATTTGAAGAGCAGATGGTTGGGGGATGGATGCTTAACGAGCACTTAGCTAACTTATATAGCGCTATATAAATTATATACTATCGATGAATTGCGGACGACCCACCAATCGTATAATGATATAGTCGTGGTTATCGAATGGTGATTAGCGGCTCTGGCATCGGCGGCCAGGTATAGGTATATCGGCGACTGGTTGGCGAGAGTCGAACAGTTTGGAGGGTGGTGAGGGGAAGAGGTGATTCGTACTCCAGCGCGAGAAGAAAAAGGGCGCGGCGGGATGGGGGCAAAAAAAAGAAAATGTGAAAAACTGAAAGAAAAAGGAGAATCGAGGGGACGTGGCCGAACGTGCGCGCGCGCTGGTAGTCGAATGGGTGGGTGTTACTTGGGAGTAAAAGAGGAAAAAATTGGGCGGGGGTGCGGCGTGGCGGGACCTTGGTCGGGGTGGGTCGAAGAGCCGCGAGCGCTGTGTGTGGTGGTGGCGGGGGCGGGTGGTAAACCGAAATAAGTATGAGTAAAAGAGAAAACGAAAAAGAGCTCGCTCGCATTTTAATAGCTTTCATTAGCACGACCAGATATTATTATCCTAACGCCACCAACCCCTCTCACCCTCGTACAACCACCACATCGATAACCATATATTCACGTGCCGCAAACTGCACACACACACACACACACACACACACACACACACATACTTTTGGAAAAATCACGATGGAGGCAGTAAAATGCGACAAGAATCGAAAAAAAATGACAGCGAATAGTTTCAAAGACGTGGCTGTCATGAGTGTAATGAGACGCGTATGTAATGGGCCGTATTTAGGAATTTATTACACAGGGACAACAAAAAACAATGGATAAGTTATAAAATATTTATAATAAAATTAACTTTTGTTAAAAAAAAATTACCTATAGCTAAAAAATTTTCATTTTCTTCCTGGATTGTAATATTATAATATTACCATAGTAATTGATGATGAGTTATATCACTTTAGATGTTTAATACCCACCGTAGCTATGTGGTGTTTATGCTAATAACTATATTATACATTCTATAAAATATATGGTTACAAAATATAATATCAATTTTAGGAAATAAACCAAAAAAGTTATGTGAAGATTAAAACAATGGTATCAAAAATAAGCCACCCTATACAACAGCCCTCTTGCTGCAGTTGACCCCTTCCCCTACCCTAAATACGGCCCTGAAAATGTCCGCATATCTCCCACCACCACCAACTCGTGCCACTTGCACAACAACTACAACAACCAGCCGTAATCTTCAGTACGTGTAGTATACCGAGGCATACACTGCACGGTTTTTC